TTACAAGTCACCAAATTAATACAGAACGTGTACAGCAACATTATAAGACTATTCTTTTACTGCTCAAACCAATTCGGACATCATAATAAATTGCAGTCAAAATAAAACTCCGCAGAACCAAAACGGACCGGACGAAATCTGCCAGAAAATAATCAAAACGTGCAGAATAATCACATCTACAACATACCAAAAGTTATGCGGTGAAATCTTCGCCAGCACCAAATCGGTTACGAAAAACACTTACAAAAACACAAATCTGAGCACCATTTTACAAAACCTCAAAATCTTCGAAAACAGAAGTAGGGTTCGGAGTCCTTACAGCGAGACAAACAAAATATCCAACAGCAACGAACGACGAAAATCGCTCTGCGGGCCCCAAAATCGGACTTCTTCCTTTGCTTTTCCGCTCTTTCTCTCTCTTGAAAATATCTGATATTTTAAAATGATTTTCTCTCTCCTCAAAACGAGCTGATTTTCTTATAACATTAGTCTGATCGGCCCGGCCGATCGCCACATCGTCCTGGCCGATCAGAACAAAAACCAATCGGCCCTGGACGATTTCTCAGGACGATGCTCTCGGGATTCTTGTCGTATCTGATCGTCCCAGGACGATCCAAATCGTCCAGGACGATCCAGTCCAGAAATCACTCCAGAGAACATTCCAGAAATCAGCTGTTTTCAATGCACTGATCGGCCTGGACGATATCACCATCGTCCTGGCCGATTCTGGGGAAAAATCACTTTTCCCAGCAGCTACAGTAAAGGAACGAGGTCTCACAACTTCTATGAAGGCCAGTTGGATTATTCAGAGAGCTAAAATTAATTGGCTTCATCATGGTGAAGATGATTTGAAATTTCTTTATGCTAAAATTAGAAGTAGAATGGGAAGTTCTAAATCTGTTGTTAATTTATTTTCCTGTAATCCTACTTCTGATAAGAAAGAGGTGATCAATTCTATTATTGAGCATTTTCAGGAGCTTTTTAATCCTCTTCCTTCTTCATATAGGAACGTGGATGTCTTTCCCATAGGGTCTTCTGTTCCTGATTTCTACACTAATTTGCTTACTGCCCCTATTTTAGATGATGAAATCAAGGTTGTAGTTTTTAAAGGCTCGTCTAAATCCTCTCCTGGCCCTGATGGTTTCAATTATCACTTTTATAAATCTAGATGGCATATCATTGGTCCGCTTGTGTGCAAAGCCATCAGATTTTTCTTCTTCAAAGGATTTCTTCCTAGTGGGATCAAAGCTACTGCACTTGCTATCATTCCCAAACATCGAAATGCCACTTCTATCTCTGATTATAGGCCGATTTCTTTATGCAATACTCTCTACAAAATTATTGCAAGTAGGATGAAACCTATTATGCCTCTCATTGTTAAAACTCAAGCTGGTTTTGTGAAATCGAGAATTTCCACTGATAGTATTCTTCTTGCCAGTGATATCCTTTCTTTGGTTAATAAGAGAGGTTTTGGTAACATTTTTTGTGCCAAGATTGATATCAAAAAAGCCTTTGATTCGGTCTCCAGAGAATTTTTACTTGCACGTATGTCTCAAAAAGGTTTCCCTAAACCTTTTATCCAATGGATTAAGGCTTGCATTACAAATGTTAATTTTTCTGTGGTAATTGAAGGTGCATTGGAAGGTTATTTCTCCTCATCTGCAGGGCTAAGGCAAGGATGTCCTATCAACCCTTATTTATTCTGTTTGGTCATGGATGCCTTTTCTAATCTTTTGGAAGAGAGAGGTTTTAAAGGTTTTAAAGATGGTGACTATCACTTATCTCATCTTCTTTATGCGGATGATGTTTTAATCATTGGAGAGGCTACTGTGGATAATTGTTTAACACTTTCATCTATTCTTAAAGAATTTGCAATTGCCTCGGGTTTGCATATTAATTTTGATAAGTGTTCTGCTATGTTTTCAAAAAATCAAAGAAATCAAGATAGGTTGTGCCAAGCTCTCTCTATCTATAATGTTGCATCAAAGATCACATACCTTGGCATTCCTATCTCCTTCTATAGGTTGAAGGTCATTGATTTCCTCCCTTTGATGGATAAGTTGAATAAGAAATTTACTGGATGGAAAGCTAACCTTTTATCTCTGGCCGGGAGACTGCAATACTTAAAGTTTACTATTCAAAACACAATAGCATATTGGATCAGAGGTTCCATCTTACCTAAGACTGTTATTAAGTTTTTTAAGAAAACTTGTTCTAAATTTCTATTCTTTGGAGACATTATTAGCTTAAGCAAACTGCATATGGTATCCTGGGATACTGTTTGCAAGCCAAAACTAAAAGGGGGTTTGGGCATTCCTTCTTTAAGTGCTCTTACTCATGCTTTTAACTGCTCTGTCATATATCGAATGTATAATTGTAACTCTCCTTTATCTGCCTGGTTAACTGCACACTATATATCTCCTTGGCGTCCACTATCTTCCGATGCTAGCAAATTTTGGATGTCTGTTTGTAAGATTGCTGATTTGGCCAAATCAAATTTTAAGTTCATTATTACACCTAATGCTCCTATATCTGTTATTTGGGACCATTGGTGTAACAACTCTTCTCTAGCGGATTTGGTGGGAGGTGTATTTTTGGATAGCTTTTCTTATCCTCTCCTCAAGAATTATATATCTGATACAAATTGGGTGTTGCCAAATGATATTCCTATGAATGTAAGAACTGCTGTTTGTAGAAATGAGATCCAGGTCAACTCAACTGTGTGTTTAATCTGGAAACATTGTGACAAGCCTAAATTTTCAGATTTCCTGCTGGATTGCTACAGTCATTTGACTGATTGTAGCTGATATAAGTATGTTTTGCACAAAAAGAACATTTTGAAACATTCGGTATATGTTTGGCTTGCTCTTGTTGGGGGTTTGAAAACACAGGATGCCTTAAAATTAAGATATATTTATGTGCAAGAAAACTGCTCTCTCTGCCATTCTTCTCCTGAAACTGTGAATCATCTGTTCTTTTAGTGTTCCTACTCTTTTTCGATACTGAACTCTCTTATCCCTGGATCGAAGAACTTTTTCTTTAGACCTACTATTCTGCAACTGTGCCAATGGGTGGAGAATGAATTTTCTTATTCCCAATACCTTAGGAATTTCTATTTCCTAATGATTTGCTGCATCATTTATCAACTTTGGAGAGAAAGAAATTGCAGGAGATTCGGTAATGAGTTTCGTAGCTCTTCCTCTCTTCATTATCTTATCAAAAGGCTGATTATTGAGAAAGTCTCTAGGTGGAAAAATTCTAATGAGTTACTGGAGAATTTCTGATTGGTGGGATGGTGTATTGGAATCAGTTGTTGTTTGCTGGTTCGGTGTTTATAATCAGGACAATGATGATGCTCCGTTGATATTCTCTGTTATTTCTTTCCCTTGGAGGGCCTTCGGGGCAACCTGCCACTTTTTGCTGTGCTCTGGAACATCTCTGCTCGTGGCTTTTCGTTACAAGAGATATCAGGATCCTGTTCAAGTTTTGATCTGCGAATTTTATTTTATTTTTTGTCATTGTATTTGAGTGGTATAGTTGTGATTTTTTCGGACTTTGCATAAGGTTTTGTTTTTTTACTGCTTATGCAAGGTTTAGTCATTTAATTTTACATTTTCTCTTGTAACACTTTATTCTCACCTCTGTTCGCTTTACAGTTCATTCACCCTTATTAAGATGGATAGGCTTGTGAAGGTGGAGGCGGCTAAGCTGGAGCTCCATTTCCGGCCATCGTATCGCTGCACAGCCACCTTCAAAATCACCAGCCTCATCCACACGATGCCGGTCGCCGTCAAGCTTTCAACCGTCCGTCCAACTTCCTATTCATTCTCACCCGACGCCGTCGCCCTCCTCCCGCCTCTCTCCTCCGCTGTATTCACCCTCGTGCTCCTCCCCACGGCCTCGCCGCCCCTCGTCTCCCCTCCGGACGTCGTCGTCGTCGGAACAGCCCTGGCCCCCGCCCTCCAGCGCGCTAACTCCGCCGCCCTTCGCCACTTCTTCTCCCGCCCTGCTCTCCCCCTCTTCCGCGACGCCTCGCTCCCCATCCATCTCATCGGCCCCCACTCCCTTCGCTCCCTGCTCTTAGGCAGTGGTTCAACCTCCTCCCTCCTTGCAAGCATCATCCCCTCCTGCACCCCTCCGGAGCTCTCTGCCGCACTGCTCCTCGCCGCCGGGGATAGCAGCGGCGGCAACGCAGTTTCGTCCCTTCTCTCCGCCGGTGCAAACCCCAATTCCCGCCCCGCAGCCGGCGGGAGGTCCGCGATCTCCCTAGCAGTCTCCGCTGGGTGTGCGGAGGCCGTGGAAGTTCTCGTCAAGGCCGGAGCCACTGATCGCCCGTTAAACGAGGCGGCGGCCGTGAACCGGACGGATCTAATCCTGTTCCTCCTCGCCGAATCGGATCTCGGGCTCGACTGGGCTGACATGGCTGATGCCGATGGCCGAACGCCTGTCCACGCAGCAGCGGCAGAAGGCAGCGTCGATGCCCTCCGCCTCTGCCTCTCCTGCGGCGGCGATCCAGAGCGAACCGACGCTCGCGGATGGACCCCACTCCACTATGCCGCCGCCGGCGGCCACCTCGAGGCCACCTCGCTTTTAATAAAATCCTCTGACTTCAACCCGAGGCTCGCTGTGACACGAGGCGTTAAGTGGTGGTTGAGGAGAAAGACGGCGTTTGACATCGCGGTGAAGAAGGGGCACTCACATTTGTTCGATATTCTCCGGCCTGAGGACGAGCTGATTCGGGCGGCGCGTTGCGGCAAGGTGGCGGCGGTTTCAGCTTCTCCTCTTATAGATGAGGCTGTGTTGGCCGAGGCGTGCTTGGATCAACCAGTTTGGGAGTCTCATGGGGAAGCCGCTTCAGCTGCTGCTCTTGTAAATACTGGGAATTGAAAGCCGTAGGAGGAGAAGGATCAAAAACTCATTTTTCTTCTTTTTTTTTTGCTTTACTTGTACATTATCAGAACAGAGGCTTGATCGCACCCAGGTTGGTTACTCTTCTGTATCATGACCATGAGGTGAGGTGAGGTGAGGTGACTCCATTAAAATTGAAAATTTACTTTTTCAGAGCAAAAAATCTGCTCAATTGTTCCTCCCAGTCATTATCCAGTTGACTGGTGATCGTGATTTCATTTTCATTCAATTTCTATGAAACTAAAGTCATTAGAAATGAAGAGGTTTTGAAGGAAGTTGGTGAAGCATGGAGTCGAACGTTGATTATAACCGCATCCGGTTTTGTTTGCGAAAGAGCTTTATGTAATGGCTGATTGGTTGTATTCTTCACTGAGCTCATAAGTCAAAACATTTGCGCGCCAACCGCTGCTGATTTGATCCTGAGACGATTTCATTATTGCTAGATCTAATCCCGTTGGTCTGCTACCTTTATTGTTTAAGGTATATGTAACTATCTAGGAAGTTGTAAATTCTTCCTCTCAATCGCCGCAGATCTTGTTAGCATGTAGAAATTATTCTATGCAGATGTCGGATGTAGCTCTGTGTTTGAAGGCGAATCAGAGTACGCCATATCATACGGTACACAACGGGTACACAGACGTGATACACAACAAGGAGATAACGTGAAATGCTCTGATTTGACTCCGAATGACTTATGTGTCCACACAAAATAATTATTCTTGTGGATAGATTATTATGTGCAGAATCCGGATGCAGAGAACCATTCGGTTTTTTCTCATGAATAGTAAAAGTGCATTAAAAATGCAGGGGTGAACAGTAAAATCTTAGTAGTGAACAGTAACTGCGCTTTTACTATTCATAGTCATAAAACTGAAAGTTTCTCTATGTCCTAACTCCACACGTAATAACCTCTCCTGTTAGCGAGCAATCACGAATTTCTTTCTTCATGTTATGCGACAAAACTATCTGGCACCATGTTTTCCTTAATACAAAGATTGGTTTAAATATTATACTTTACATTAGGTTCAGCTATTTTGAATAAATAAACTATTTTCTTAACCAATCTAATCTGGAGAGTCAATTCAGCACTGTTTGTTAATGTGGGAGGCATAAATTAATTTTTTATTCAAATTATTTATTATTTATTATTTTTAATCACGCCATTTCCTATCAATTTCGATATTGCTCAAGGCATACAAATGAACTCTAACATTATTAGATCTCTCAAACTGATATTTTTTTTTTTGTTAATTGATTGCTGTATGACCTCCACTTTGGTCTTATTCATTTTTTCGTTATTTTCTAAAGAATTTTAGAAGAAATTATTATAATAAACTGCCTATTAAATCCTCCCTCAAAATCTATATTAATTTATAGACGAGGAAATGAGTATCTTTATGTAATTTATAAATTTTTAAATTTTCAAATCTCTTTTAACAGGAATTTTAAAATAGATAATCCAAATCTCCATTATAAGTATGATAAAAAATCTTATAAACAATTTTACAAAATTCTATACTAGTCATAGACAGATGAAAAAGGATGAGAGTATTCTAAATATGTATAATTTGTGCCCCCACAAAAGATAAATCTTGGCTCCGATATCGTTCAAATACATCAATTTAAAAGAGTTAATGATGTTGGGTGGACTTGCTAAAAAGTAAAAGGAATGCCAGAGGGGGAACTTGCCAAAGACAAATGGGCACTCGACCAAGGGAACTCATCTTAGCCAAAGGGCACTCACCCGAGAGGGATTCACTGTAGCCATAAGGACAGTCTCTCTAATTAGAGGGGAACTTGCCTAAGGAGCAATATCCCTAGGGACAATTGCTTAAGGAGTACTCACCTATGCATATGCAGATGGGGCGATCACGTCTATTAAGTATGTAGATCATCTCAGATACTTGTAAAAGGCATTCCTAGTCCACGTTAAATGGAGTGTCTACACGTCCACCAGGGCTTTAGCCTCATGTTTATAATAGTTATATCATGCATTTTTCTGCCATTTCTTATACATACTATAGTTGTAACCATTCATGCTGTCACGCCCCAAGAACAAATTTGGAAGAAATGTATGTTTTAATCTTCTAATTAATCAACCGAAACTTCTATGAATTCATAAACATAAATCAATAAAAAAAAAGCAACAAAAAATCATATACATCCAAATATTTCATTATATTCATTCACCAAAATCACATTTATAATAGCTATGAGATCACTTACAATCAATAATCTATCAAAAGCTTTTGACTACAAAAGATTAAAAGAAAATATAAAACAAAATCAAAAGAAGAACTTCAAGATCTCAGGTGGAATCCATCCACCGAATCCTGACTCCTTCCCTGACCTAAAATCAATCAAAATCACATAATGAGCTTACATAGTCCACCAAAAACCCAAAACTCACTAACACTTCCAATATAAAATTTAAAGAATCAATATACATGCTCATCTCAATCCATAAAATTAATAGCATTCAATATCATCAATGATCAGTTATCACTAGTACGACTCAATATGATCAATAATGAAATAATATTCATTACACTTAAATCTATAAATCAACAAAATGTGCAAGAATATAAATGAGTTGGTTATCGATAAATCAGTACAGTAAGGAATAACACATCAATAATATAATCATTCAAGAGCATCATTTTTTTAGTAGATGAATCATAAGCATACATGTATCAATGCCATTGGTCTTATCCATCTTATATATTATATATCATATACAATGAGTGCATGTATCCATTCATATACTGTTTATGCATACACATTACTAATCTATCTATCAATATTATCAATGCATGTGTGCATTAGTATGTGATTTAGCAAGATAGGGCATCTAGCTTTAGTGTGGTACTTTTATTCTTTCATTTGTATTCATTATATCATTATATTATCATTATTATCATTGCATCATATTTATCATTATTATTATTACAAGTGGCTTTCAATAAATCATTAGGAGCATTCACCTTCTGCCCGTTGATATAATCTTTCATGATTTATAGGCTATAACTAGGATAACACCACAAATTTTCTTTAAAGAAAGACCCATCAACTAACCCTCTTACGCTATGTTTTAAGAGAAATTTCATATAAATTATAGTGTTAACAACCAATGTTCCTTGCTTACATATAAATACCACATTTATTTTATATCATTTGTATGAAATGCTCAAATCTATAAAATACATGAACATCTGTATAATAGCCTATTGCTTTAGAAAATCATGACTTTCATTTTATATTGTAAAATTTAGTAATATTATAGTGAAAGTATCCATAAAATATATATATATATATCATATATGAAAATTAACATGATAAAAGTACAATGAATGAGGCAAAAAAGTATTTTATCAATTTAAAAAAGATTAAATTTGTCAAATTCAAAATAATTGAAAATCAAAGTAGGATTCATGTTACTTATAATAATCAAAAGACATTTCTTAACTAAAGTAATGGATAAAAATGACCAAAAATCTAATTTTCTTTCTCCCCTCTCTCCTCTTCCTCTCCCTCTCCCTTTCCCTCTCTTCTTTCTTCCACAATGAACGAATACTAATGGAGGGTGGCTGAGGGCTTTAGTGTTTAGGATTTTTGAAATATATATATATATATATATATCTGCAACACTCTGGCCCAGTACTGAAGTGCTGCATGTTGAATCCAGAATTATTATAGAACATATCATTCAATGTAGTGACAATGACTTCTAGCGCAATTGTGCGTTCTCAAGCATAACATTGTAGCACTCTCAAGCACAACATCGAAGAGCTCCAATTTAACAAAATTCAATTTTTATTTTAAAATACTTTTCATAACATACTTTTCCTATTTTGAGGTTGTTACAATTTATCCACCTTAGAAAAATATCATCCTCAACATTTCCACGAGCAAAAATAATCAAAATAAGTCAATAAAATAAATTTAATTTATAAACTTTCCAAAACAAAGCAATATAATTAAAAGAAAAATAAAATAAAAAACCATTTAATAATCTCAAAAATAATATTGATCATCGACTTATCATTCATTGCAATAAATCAATCTTAAGTTCAATAGAAATCAATCAACATTCAATGGAACTCTAATCACTTAAAATTTAATGCACAAAATTAAAAATTCTCCCAGTGGATCCTCCAGGTGAATCCCTATCATTCTGCTGGATCAGGCAGTAAACTTTGGATCGTACTGATATTAGTGATAGTATAACAGACTGTGCATGTTCTCTTTGACCCTCAATAACTTCTCATCCATTTGTCTTGCTGATGGATCCTTTATTGTAAACTTTGGATCCAATAATCCTCTGCTTATAGTCTTGCCTGACTTTCTCTCCTCAGAATCCATATTCTATTCTTATCACTATAGTGGACAATCATATATCTGGTGTCATCACTGTCCACATTTGAAACATTTCCCAGTCAAGTATATCTTTTACGACATCGGGCATACTCAGGTACACTTTCCACACTCGACTTAGATCCCTTCCTGCTGTCTAAAAATTTACTACTTTTTTCACTACTATCTAACTGGGTTATATCTTCTCCCAATCTTTTCCTTCTCATATCTTGTCTGAGTTGAGACTAGTCTCCCTCTCTCCAATAATTCTAAAAATTATTGAATTCTCAGCAGCATTAGATGTCTCAATTCATCTCACAGTCCCCTAAAAAAAATTATAGCATTTTTCTTTCATTGTATTAATCAACTATGGGGTGTACCTTACAAGTGTAATAAATTCAGCTTCATACTACATCACTATTATGTTCCTATGCTCTAATCTTATGAAAGCTTCATGCATTTATTATTAGGTTGATGGAGGTGCAAACCAATCTCTAAAAATAACAATAAACTCTGCCCATAAAATCTCTACATTCATCTTGCCCTGAAATTTTTTCTATTGCTATCCTATCCATCATATATCAGTCTCTTCTTTAAATTGAAACAATGCTAGTGATCCTTTTTTGTTCTATGGACACTACATGCTATTAAATATTTTCTCTACCCTCAACAACCAGTCTTCTACTATACAAGATTCTACAGTTCCTTTAAATAATGGCGGCTTTAGTTTATAAATATATGTAGATGTCTATGATTTTATAATTTCTTATGTCCCATCAGCTTATAATGGTCATCGCTCATTACTTGTGCAAGTATACTGGCAAGCTGCATTAAACTGTCATAACTTGTTGAAACAGTTGTTGCATTTTGTCCATTATATATATATCCTAATTAGCATGGTCCATATGTCCATTGCCTATTTTAATCTCTTAGTTAATCAACTAGAGCTTCTATAAATTTATCAACATAAATCAATCTAGCCAAAACAACTAATAATCATATACAACCAAATATTTCACTATATTTATTAACCAAAATCACATTAACAATACTTAGGAGATCACTTA